GTGATCAAGGAGATGCTATTTTATAAAATAAATCTGAATTGGCTCATGGAAATCTTGGATCAAGGAACATATGAGAGACGAGACAATAGCAGCCGAAGGAGAAAACAAAGCTCGACTACCAAAGCGTAACTGTGAAGGCATTCACAACGTCTTCGGGAACCGCCTAACCCTAACCCTACGTCAGTGGCCAAAGCTTGAGCCGTGCTTTGTGACCCTTGGTTGGTAGCAGGGAAGATAGGGCATCCCCCACAAAAGAAGAACATCCGTAAGTGGGGCTTTGGAAGTGAGAAAACCGCAGCCCAAGTCTGTTTTCGTAGTGGAGTCAACGTCGCCCGTCAGAGCGTCCGATCCTGGTCATTTTGGAGCAGCGTCTCCCTAGCTCAAGTTATTATGTCTTTTTTCCTGATCGGCGCAAGAGGCATTGTTGAGTCGAAAAATCTCTCCGCTCCCTTTGACCAGAAACAGACTTTGCCGGCCAACGCCTGAAAGAAACGAGAAAAGAAAAGGTAAGAGCAACTTTGTACACCTGGTGCTTATCCCCGCTTTGCCCTGTCCCTGCCCCACGCCGTCCGCAATTGCAACCTCACACCTAAAGTTACCCAACTTTCTGACCTCGCCTCCCCGTCTAGCGGCTCTCACTGCTCCACGATCGCTTCGTTCCGAACCGATCTCTCTCACCATATCCAAGACTTTCCTCTGTCCACCGCGCACCCGACATACAGATACCCCAACAGCAAATATGGCGCCCAAAAAAAAGGGAAACAAGAAGGGCGGCGATGACTGGGAGGCTGAGCTGGGCGAGTCCATTGCCCCTCCCGCCGCCAACACCGATGCCGCTGCCGAAGGCGAGGATGAGGAGCCCGCTGCTGGTGGCCTCATGAACCTGCTGCGCAAGAAGAAGGAGAAGCGCAAGAAGATGGGCCTGAGCGAGGAGTTCCCCGAGGCCGAGAAGGAGGCGGTTGTCGACAACGAGCCCGTCCTCTACCTGGCCGAGAAGGCCCCCCAGGAGGCGAACCTGGACGACGAGTTCGCGCTCCCCGACAAGAAGGGCAAGGGTGGCAAGGGCAAGCAGCAGGAGAAGCCCGCTGCTGCTGCAAAGGACGACGAGGAGCGGGGCGCCGACGGCAAGGTCCTGACCAAGGCCGAGAAGGAGAAGCTCAAGAAGGAGAGGGAGAAGCAGCGCAAAAAGGAGCAAGCTGCGAAGAAGAAGGCAGAGACAAAGCCCGCTGCTGCCAAGGCGGAGCCCGCCAAGGCTGCCGTGCAGGAGAAGAAGGCCGAGGCCGTCATCTCCACGCCCGCTGCGGCTGCCTCTGCGGCTGCCGATGGCAAGAAGAAGAAGTTGCCCGCCCACTTGCTGGCCATTCAGAGACAACAGGAGGAGCTGCGGCGCAAGCAGGAGGCGGACGAGGCTTACATGGCCGCTGAGAAGGCCAGGATAGAGGAAGAGGAGCGCCTGGCTGAGGAGGAGGCCAAGAAGAAGGAAGAGGAGAGAGCGCGCAAGAAGCAGAAGGAGAGAGAGCGGATCGAGCAGCTCAAGAAGGAGGGCAAGTTCATGACCAAGGCCCAGAAGGAGGAGAAGGCCCGCAATGAGAGGAAGCTCCAGCAGATGATTGCTGCCGGCATCAAGGTTGGCCCTGTCGGCGAGGGTGAGCCCGAGCAAAAGAAGAAGGTCGACACCAAGAAGAGGAATGCTAGCCGCAAGGTTGAGAAGGTCCGTCCATCTCTGCTTGGTAAAGCCCTGTTGAAAATCAAAGCTAATTATGGTTTAGGTCGACGAAGAGAAGGTCCTGGCCGAGGCTGCTGAGCGTGCAAGACTGCAGGCTGAAGCTGCTGCCAAGGAGGCAGAGGAGAAGGCCCGCGTCGAGCGTGAGAAGGCCGAAGCAGAGGCCGCTGCCAAGAAGGCCGAGGCCGCGGCTGACGATAGTGTTGACGAGGACTGGGAGGCCGCTGCTGCCTCGGACAAGGAAGATGAGCCCAAGGACAGCTGGGACGCCGACTCCGAGGATGAGGCTGAGGAGAAGAAGGCTGCTGCGCCCGCCAGTGGCAAGACACAGGAGCTGCCCTCGCGGACAAAATCACAAGAAGACTCGGAAGAGGAAGAGGATACCGAGGAAGAAGATTCCGAGGACGACGAGTCTTCAGACGACGAGCAAGAGACGGCGCGCCAGATTGCCGAGGCACAGCGGAAGAGGGAGGCTCACGAGCGCCGTGAGAAGGCACACGAGGCGGCAATGGCTGCCCGGTCCAAGGACAACCTGCGTTCGCCCATTTGCTGTATTCTTGGTCACGTCGATACCGGAAAGACAAAGCTGCTCGACAAGATCCGGCAGAGCAACGTCCAAGAGGGTGAAGCGGGTGGAATCACTCAGCAGATTGGTGCTACCTACTTCCCCGTCGACGCCATCAAGACAAAGACTGCCGTCGTCAACAAGGACGGCAAGTTCGAGTTCAAGGTCCCTGGTCTCCTGGTCATCGACACACCCGGGCACGAGTCTTTCGCAAACTTGCGTTCCCGTGGTTCGTCGCTCTGCAACATCGCCATTCTGGTTGTAGATATCATGCACGGTCTCGAGCCCCAGACTTTGGAGTCCATGAAGCTCCTCCGCGACCGCAAGACGCCCTTCATCGTTGCGCTCAACAAGATCGATCGTCTCTATGGCTGGAAGAAGATCGACAACAACGGATTCCAGGAGAGTTTGTCGATGCAGAACAAGGCCGTCCAGAACGAGTTCAAGATGCGCCTCGAGCAGACCAAGGTCGCCTTTGCCGAGCAGGGCTTCAACTCGGAGCTCTTCTACGAGAACAAGTCGATGGCCAAATACGTGTCTCTGGTGCCCACATCCGCCCACACCGGCGAGGGTATCCCTGACATGCTGAAGCTGATCGTGGCCTTGACCCAGGAGAGAATGGTGGGCTCGCTCATGTACCTGTCGGAGGTGCAGGCGACCGTCCTCGAGGTGAAGCAGATCGAGGGCTTTGGAATGACCATCGATGTCATTCTGTCCAACGGCATCTTGAGGGAGGGCGACCGCATTGTCCTCTGCGGCACTGAGGGAGCCATCAAGACCAACATCAGAGCCCTTCTTACGCCTGCTCCGCTCAAGGAGCTCCGTCTCAAGTCGGCCTACGTGCACAACAAGGAAGTCAAGGCAGCCTTGGGAGTCAAGATCAGCGCCCCCGGTCTGGAGGGCGCCATCGCCGGTTCCCGTCTGCTCGTTGTCGGCCCTGACGATGACGAGTCGGATCTGGAAGAGGAGGTTGAGTCTGATCTCGCCACCCTCTTCAGCCGTGTTGAGAAGTCCGGTCGTGGTGTGAGTGTCCAGGCGTCGACGCTGGGCTCTCTCGAGGCCCTGCTCGATTTCCTCAAGACGTGCAAGATTCCCGTCGCCAACGTCGGCATTGGCCCCGTGTTCAAGCGCGACGTTATGCAGTGCAGCACCATGTTGGAGAAGGCTCCTGATTACGCTGTCATGCTTTGCTTCGACGTCAAGGTCGACAAGGAGGCTCAGCAGTATGCTGATGACAACGGCGTCAAGATCTTCACGGCCGACATCATTTACCACTTGTTTGACGCCTTCACCAAGCACATGAACGAGCTCACGGAGAAGAAGAAGGAGGAGTCCAAGCTCCTCGCTGTCTTCCCTTGCGTCCTCAACCCCGTCGCCGTCTTCAACAAGTCGGGTCCTATTGTCATCGGAGTCGATGTCGCCGAGGGCCAGCTAAGGATCGGTACCCCTCTTGCCGTGGTCAAGAACAACCCCACCACGAACATGAAGGAGATTATCCAGATTGGGAGAGTGTAAGTCCTTCCCCATCTCCTGCCTACTTGCGTTTGTGTGCGCATGAATACTGACAATACCCCACAGGACTTCCATCGAGAGAGAGCACAAGCAGATCCCCGTCTGCAAGAAGGGCCAGCCCTCGGTGGCCATCAAGATTGAGATGGGCGGCCACCAGCCCACATACGGCCGCCAGCTCGAGGAGAAGGACGTGCTCTACAGCTTGATCTCGCGCGCCAGCATCAACTGCCTCAAGGAGTTCTACAGGAAGGACGTGTCGAATGACGAGTGGCAGCTCATTGTCAAGCTGAAGCCCGTCTTTGATATCCCGTAGGCGGACTTGGGGGTCATATCTACTCGGTACCTAGCTAGCCGTTGATTGCTTGCTCTACTGCCCTTTACTCTATCTACATCATGTACCACCTTGTTCTTTCAATCTTATCTCTTCTCCACGTCTAAATTCTCTTTCTATCTGTGTGTCTGTCTGTGTGTGTGCGTCTACTTATCTTTCTCCTGGGTTTTTTCGTCATGACAATTTGTTTCTCCTTTGCTCAATCTCTCTCTGGTCACAAAATCTCTAGGCATGGACGCATAACATGACATGACATGGGTAGACGGAACAACAATGGAAAGATGCTGGGGAGGCGTGGTTATGATAGCTACCTACTAGGTTGGTAAGTACCTGGTAGCTGCTATTCTTGGGAACAGCAGGTGGTCGGTCCATTCCGTGCTGTGCTGTGCCGGCAGGGTGTGGGGGTGGGTAAAAAAAAGAGACAAAAAGAAATCCGAATTATGATAGAACACGAGCATCAACGTTTCTTGGTCTAATTACATCCATCTACGTAGCTCCTGGGGTGATGCTATACTCAGCTTGTTTGAAGTACAATCAATCACACCCGTCGCTTGAGAGTGAGTGTAGAACAGAGACCTCTAATCTGGTCCGTGCAGTAGAGCTGTGAACAAAGACAAAGAAAGGCGTTCGTCATTCATGGGGTAAGTAAGGTAGGGGTTGATTGTCTTGTCTTCATCTTTCTATCGGCCTCACTATCTACCTGCCCACTTACAAAACAGCATTTCCAAAGGGAAAAATGTACATGTGCACTTTGTACAGCTACGAAGCAGGGTCAGCCGGAAGAAAAAGTAGAACAAGAAAGAAGAAAAAGAAGAAAGCCGCGCGCGCGCGCGCGCGCGAGAGAGAGAGCGACAGCAAAAGAATACGAATGCCCACATCCAGAGTTGAACTGAAGACCTCGTCATGATATAGATACGATCTCGATCTTGGAGAGAGAGGAGACGATAACGATACTAGTGACGCGCTCTACCACTGAGCTATGCGGGCTGGATGGAACCAGAGTTGTGGGGTTTTTGGCTGTTTTTGTTGTGTTGCGGCTGGGCAAAAGCGGATCATGACCTCCTCCTGTCTGTCTGTCTGTCAAGAAGCGAGGCATTTTTGTGTATGTACGTATTCGCTTGGCCACTGCGAGTCAGGGGCCCATGTCGAGCGTATGTTTGTGTGTATGCGTAGTACCCACCTGCCCCAGCCGCAACTCGTCCATGCAGGAGTATATGATGGAGTGAAAGCAGATGTTGATATTGTAGACTCCGGTACCCTCCTTGAATAAGGACACATATATCCAATATACTGCGTGTGTATATATACCCGAGAAAAAAATAAATAAACAAAACTTCCATCAGACGTCAAAACCGAAACCTAGAAGAACACTAAATCCTCGTCCTGCCACCCCAGGCTCCCGAACCCGCTCCGGACCGTCCTCTCCAGCCCCTCGGGCCCACACACAAGCACAATGGTATCCCTTTCGTCGCTGGGCGGGCCGACCTCCTTCTCGAACAAGCTCCTGTCCATCCGGCCCTTGAGGCCCGTCCACGAGGCCTCGGGCCTGCTGAGCATATGCAGCAGCCTGCACCGGTCGCGGTTCTCGGCGGCCATCTGGTCTAGCTCGGCGCGGCAGAGAATGTCCTCCTCGACGCGGTTACCGTCCAGCACGACGCACCGCGTCTCGTCGGCGCGGTCCTGCATCACGGCCCGCAGGACCTGGAAGATGGGCGTGATGCCGGACCCGGCGCAGACCATGACGAAACGCCGGACGGTGCGCGTGTGGCCGCCGATGGCGCAGAGCCCGCGCCCGCGGTACTCAAACTTGCCGACGGGGCCCTTGAACTCGACGGCGGCGCCGAGCGGCAGGCCGTCGAGCGCCTGCGTCATGCGCCCGCCGCGGCCCTGAGGGCTGTCGTAGTAGATCTTGACCAGCACGTCGAGCGCGCCGGCCGCCGTGCCCTCGGAGAGCGGCGTGTAGGCGCGGATGATGGGCTCGTTGTTGTCGACGAGTCGGAGGAGGAGGTGCTGGCCGACGGGGAGCCCGATCGTCTGCGCCGCGTGGTCGAGTGTGAAGGTGAAGATCTTGGTGTCGGACGAGACGCGCTTCTTGCGCGCCAGGATGGCCCGCGACCACGCTTTGGCCTGTAGGAAGACGGGGCGCGGCGTGGTGGAGGCCGGGAGGAGGTCAGAGGAGCTGGAGGCTAGGAGGGCCATGGCCTCGGCGGAGAGGGCGCCGATGTGGTAGGTCGGCATCATGGCTTTGGCGTTCTCGCTGTCTGATGTGGGGGCGGAGTGTTAGCATTGTGTTTCTGGATGTTCTTTTCTCTTCTTTTCTCGTTTCATTTTCATTCTTTTTGGGTCGGGATGGGAGGGGAGGGTGCTTACGGATGGCGAGAAACTCTTCTGTTACGTCCTGTCCTGCGGCGCCGATGATGGAGGCTGCTCCTCCTGGATGACCTTCGAGGAACTTTGTGCCGTCGTAGACCTGGTTGTTGACGACGAACCAGGGCTCGGCTTCGCCGTCGTGGCTGCGGAGCTCGTCGATGGTGATCTGGCGGGTGGTTTGCGGGTCAACCATGCATATTTCCTTGGGCGCCTCATCGATCGCTGTGACTTCTTCCTCGGCCGAGAGCCTTTCGCCCCAGAAACCGTTGGTCAGATCTCCGCCTTCTTTCTTGGCCCTTTCCATCCAGCCGCCCCCCGGGACGATAGTTGGCTGGGTGGGATGCTCGAAGCGCAACGAGTGGGCCTCCTTGTGGATGACAACGCGGAACCAGGGGTTGTTCATCATCCCCAAGACACTCCAGTACATGTCCCTAGGCTGCGCCATCATGGAGTCGTCCATTGCTCGGATCATGACGTCCTTGGCGCCTTGGAGCTGAGCGAGGGGGATGTCCAGGTCCCAGAAACACCAGCAGAAGCACGCCTCTCGCCATGACAGGTCGACGCGGCCGCCGTAGAGAGTCTCGTCCTCTGGTGCGAGCCGGTACTGGTCCTCGGGGTATGTGATGTTGGCAAGGATCCAAGTCTTGCCCTGGTCGAGGGTGGCTTCCAGTCTGGCGACCCGCTTGCCGCCTCCCGCGTACGCATAGCCCCTGAACTTGTACATTTCCGGGCCATCTATCAGGGACACATGCTCGTCGTGTGCAGGGTAGCATATGACACTGTTGGTGTTCAGGTCGTAGATGGCATACCGCTCGTCCTTCCACACGTCGGGAAGATTGGCGCTCGCCTCGGGGCTGACCATGGTGGGCAGCACGCGGTTGTCATAGATGTGGTACCAGTTGTCGCTCGGGGCGGCCGAGACAATAATGCGCTTCAACCACTTGACGCTGCGCCCTCCAATCTGCCCCGGAATGACCATCCTTACGGGCTTTCCATGGTCGGGATGTAGGGCCTCGCCGTTCATCTTGTGGGCCACCAGTATGCCGCGGTTCGGGTCCATGGCCCAGTTGAGCTTGATCGAGGTGCCGTAGCAGCCGTTGGGCAGCTTGTCGGCGCCCTCGAAGCACACATATCGGGCCCCTCGCCGGGGAACGGAGCGCATCAGCAGCTGCCCCAAGCTGACACCGGTCCAGAGAGCGGTCGAGAGGCCGGCGGGACCCCACGAGAACCCCTTGGTCTTGCGCACCACGTTTTGCTCCTTCCTCCGATTGCCTGCGCAGACGAGGGTGATGGGGTAGGTGAGCTGCTCGTAGTCCCTGAGGAGGTCCCTCACCGTCATGGTGATGGGATTCTCCACCATGCCCTCCACGGTGAACTCCCAGTCCAGACACTCCGAGTCCTCCACCTGCGGCACGGCTCCATGGTTCCTCACGTAGTGCAGGTCCTTTGTTGTCAAGAAGCCCTCATCGTAGAGGTCGCTCAGCGGGGCTTCTACGTTGAACGGGTGGACGCCGGTCAGCCTGATCAGGCGAGCATCTCTCTCGACGTGCCTATCGGGGGTCTTGAGGTCTTCTGCAAGCACCTTGTTCTGCCGAGAGCGAGGCGGGAGGGGATAAAGCCGCGGCGAGGCTTGTGTCTCGGTGGTTACGACATGCTCGTCTGCTGGGCTGTCAAAGCCCGAGTCCGAGCCCGACTCTGAGCTCAAGTCATGTGCGTCCTTGACCGTGGCGGGAGGACTTGGAGGGAGTCGTTGATATGCGATCGTCTGAGGTCCCTGAGCCGCATGGACTGAAAGGGACATGGTCTTTATTATGTGTAAGTGCTAAGAACCTTGTCGACGAGCCCTGTCAAGTCCGATGTTGTTCGTTCTCGACACATCAACAAGGGAGACGAACAGGCGATATCCAGGGGCAGTGAATGAACGAGTAGACATGGGATGGACGGTCCTGGGGGAACGGGGGGGAGGGTGTTGAATCATGTATGTATATGGGGCGTGGGGGAGTGGGAAAAAAAGGGGGGTGTGATCGGACGGGAATTGGATTGGATGGTCATGGTCATGGCATTATTACCTAGAACAGATCGTCGTCAATACCACTCACTCGCTTTACACACCTCGAGCCCTTCCCCGGAGGTTTGGACCTTGGATGGGTATGATGGGCAGCGGCCCCAACGGAGCGGGAGACAACCGATAGATGACCAACGAACGGTACGGTGTAGGTGTTTTTCTTGGTGCATAAGTCGGAACCTGGAGCACTGCTGGAGGTCGAGAGAACTTGCAAGATCCGTGTTTAGTATTGAGGCCGGGTCTGGGGTCAAGAGTTTAGGGGAAAACTTATTCAATGCCAAATGCGTCATCCCATTTGAAATAGGTACCAGGTAGGCATTTGGCTGGTTCCAGGTTATCCACCAGGACATGCTCGTTCCCCTTATCACCCAACATCCACAGCAACGGCGACAGCGACAGCGACAGCGACAGCGACAGCACAGGTCTTGTGAGGCCGCGAACGGCAGCTCCCTCAACTCGCCAACTCACTCAGCGTGTCAAGGTACCTGCCAGCATCGCAAAGAGGACGCCTCCGCGGACATACCGTGTACAACGGCCATGGCCTCGAGGGCAAACAAGCCCATGGTGTTGCTCCGTCTTATCGCCCGGCCTTGACATCGCTCTTTCGTGGGCTAATCAGATTGGTTGATAAGGCGGCCCACTAAAAGATGGGCAGATTCTGGGCGGAGATGCATCACACACACATCTCGAGCCCAGATGCTCTTTGCCTCTCTCCTGCTCACTATCTCCGGGCCAGATTCCCAGATAAAAGTTTCGTTTCAATGCAAGAAGAAAAACAGCATCTCCGGGCTGTGTCAGAGACCGAGGTGGGGGGGAGACGAGCATCTTGGAGACGATTGCAGAGACAGATATTTGCCTCATGATCTCTCGTCCCTGCTCCGATCGTCGTTCTTCTCTCGTCTCGTCGGTCTGTTCATATCGCAACTCGCCGCATCGCATCGCATCGCATCGTATTATATCGCATCGCTTTTCCATCCCGCTTCTGTTTCTTTATTGGGCCACGGTTCTGCGGCTTCTTTGGTGCACATCATGATCGACGGTCGGTCGGTGAATGACTTCATAGAGTTCAAGATATTGCGTTGGGATCTTCCCTTACCCCAAGACGTCAACCTTCATGTAGCTAGGCCCTGAGGTAACCCGCTTGGTGGCCGGCTTTGTCTCGTCGATGTTTGTGAAGGCACAGGTTTACTCTACAGTGTAGTCAGGGTTACTCACCTAGGTCGGGACGGCGTCGGCTGCTTGTGCCTGCCGCACCAAGGTCGACCCAACGATTGGACACCCCGCACTTGTCCCAATCAGATTCCCAAGCTCAGGTACCTGACCTATCCTGTACCTAACCCGTAACTTTCACCTCAGCCACATGATTGCAGGAGAACACAAATACAACTACCATACTGTCTGCCTGCTTGCAGTTTTGACCGAGTCATCTGCATGATAGTTACCTTGTACCAACATATAGTTATCCTATTCCCGGGTGACAGTTGACAGTGACGAAACGTTCGCGTTCACCAATTGCGGGGTCCCTTTAGTGCTCCGCGCGCGCTAGAGGCGC